TAAAGGCTTGCAGGGAGTGCGGGCACTCTATTCTTCAAATTTCAAAAAATATTAAGCGCAGCCGTAAAGTTATTACCGCATATTTAAGCAATGAGGATACATATGGGAAAAACATGAAAGGTCGGACATCATCAGTAATAACAGCAGCTGACAAGCGAATCATACTACGACACGCATCTAATTCCCACGACTCAGCCGCCAAAATAAAGGAAAAAACTGGTGTTAAAGCGTGCTTTCGGACTGTGCAACGAGTTATTTCGAATGCTGATTATGTGAAGCATCTAAAATTAAAAAAAAAACACCTCTAAACCAACTTAGAAAGATGCAACGACTCCATTTCTGTCGATCAAATATGACCTGGACTAAGGAGTGGGAGCGTGTAGTCTTTTCAGATGAAAAAAGTTCCATTTGGAGGGTCCTGACGGCTATGCCTACTACTTTTATGATCTCAGAAAGGAAGAGCATACTTTAGATCGCTTTAGATCGATTGCACAGCCGTGCGGGTGGTGTCATGGTGTGGGGAGCTTTAACATACTTTGGCACTATAGAACTGCAGTTTCTTACCAGCCGTATGAATGCCATTGCGTACAAAGGTGTACTGAATACGGCTTTCCCAGCAATCAAGGATATTTTTGGACCCTTGAAATGGAAGTTCCTGCAGGACAACCGTGGATTGATGGTCAAAACGTGGAATTACTGACTTGGTCGCCATACTCTCCCGACCTAAACATTATAGAAAATGTTTGGGGATGGCTGGCACGAAAGGTGTACGAGTCCGGCAGGCAGTATTCAACTGTAGCAGAACTCATTGAAGGAATAAAAAGGTCCTGGGAGGCTGTTTCACTCAATTATATAAAAAAATTGTAAGACTCCTTACCTCAGCGGATGTACGAAGTCATACTTAACCGTGGAGGCTCAAAACATTATTAATTTGTTTTTAAAAAAAGTTAAAAATATTTAAATTAATATTAAAAAACAGTTTGAATGAAGTTTGAACCCATTTTCTTTTTTTATTTTAAGTTTTCAAGTGACTGTGCTAATCGGCTGTCGCAAAAATAATAGAGAATTTTGTATGTTTTGTTTGTTTATATTAATTTAAAATGTTATTAATAAAGTTAATATCCTATCTTCTATTAATTTTCGTGTGAAATTATATATTATTTTAAGGGGAAAAAAATTATTTGAAAAGCTTTTTTAGTTTTCCTGTATTAAGTTTCTAAGAGAGCAGCGTTGGGTTGTCGCGCAGTGTAACGTATCTCAGTGGAAAAGGATTTTATATTTGCATAAACAGTGTAAATCATCTGCAAAAGTTGGTGAAATGATGGTCCGAAGTCGCTACATCAAAAGAAGCATTGTAAAACGATTTGCATGAAGCTAACCTTCATTATCGTGTAGCTTGATGCAAACTCCTAATTTCAAAATTGAACCAAAAGTATCGTTTAGCCTATGCTAAGAATTACCTAAGCAAACCAATTGACGTTTAGGACAATATACTCTGATGAAAGTACATTCAGAAGCTTTCAATCTGATGGTCATCAAACTGTGTATAGAAAACGTAACACTGAACTTCCGCGACTATAAAATATGGTGGTGAAGGAGTCATTTATGGGGCTGAATATCCGCTGCAGGTGTGGGCGAGCTAGAATTCATTGACGGCGTTATAGATAAATATGATGGAAATTCTTGAGGAATGTCAAAAAAAAGTGCCGAGAAATTTAAATTGCAAGCAACGCTGCTGCCAGCCTAGACTTAACCTTTGAAGCACGTCATCTCCTGATTTTAAACTCTTATGTCTTATATATGTATATATTCGTAATGAAACAATAAAACCAACAAATACATCGCGAAAACTCAGTAGCTCAATAGGTAACTTGCAGTCGTTGTACAGCCTGCGGAATATAAAAACTTGGCTTGATCCCAGTTTGAGTTAAAAGCTGAATTAATCATCTTTTCGATTTCGTTTTTACTTTACTCTACAATATCTGCAGAAAGTGGAAAGAAACCGGTTAAAGGCTAAGATATCTTAATACATAAAAAATAATTTTTATCAACGTTTGCTGACTTATCTATGGAAACATTTATTAAAATTCTGGTAATAATTTATTAACAGTTTTTATTCTCTATGAAATAATTTATTTTTATTAGCATTTCTTTTTTTTACATACTTTTTTCTTAAATTCATGAACATTTAGCCGAAACTAATTTGCCAAAACAAAAAGGAAAGAATGCATTATCCAAATGGTAGAAACTGAAAAATAAAAAACACAAAAAAATTTAATATTCATTGAAAAAATCTAACAAGCTAAATGTACATATTTAGTTAAAGAGTCAGTAAAAATGGTTAAATATCAAGTGATCTCAGCAATTATGTTTATGAAGACCGTCATGATTTTATCATCATTTTGATTCTTTAAACTTTATCAAAAATTTCAAAACCCACCTTTTTTTTTTAAATATCCTCAGCGTCCGTTTGAATATTAAACTCCTTCTTCAGACTTCCCAAGTTCCCATTTGCAACAAAATACCGCTATAATTGGATAAACTGATACAAAGATTATATACGTATAAAAGTCTAGCATTTTCTTTCGTTATTAACCCAAACACCTTCAGGATAACTTAAGAACGATAGTAAATTTGATCATATTATTTACAGACTACCATACATTATTTAAAAGCAAATGCAAAATTTGTTTAGTGTTTACTTATTTATTTCAAAAGCATCAAGTTAAAAATATTTGAACTTAAAACTTCTTAAAGCTCTTCTTGGATCCTTGCCCCTTTGTCACTTTAAGAACGTTGAAACGCACGGTCTTTGAAAGTGGACGACATTCGCCAATTGTGGCAATATCTCCGCTCTCCACATCTCTGCAAAAAAAAAAAATATATATATTCATTAAGTAATTCATCACTAATTTAATAATTTATATTGACATAGCTTAAATCAGAAAATTTAATTATTGTCAAGTTTTTTCAGCAATTATGTTTATGAAGACCGTCATGATTTTTTCATCAGATTTTTTCAATTACATTAATAAAAAGTTTTATATATTTAATGCTTTTTCAATTACCTGAAGCAAGGTGAGCAATGCACACTCATATTTCTGTGACGCTTTTCAAAACGACTGTATTTGCGCACAAAGTGCAAATAGTCACGGCGAATAACAATAGTGCGTTGCATCTTGCATTTGCGCACGGCGCCAGTTAAGATGCGACCACGAATCCTCACATTGCCGGTAAATGGGCACTTCTTGTCAATGTAAGTACCATCAATGGCCTAATTAAAATAAATACTAATTATTAGCTTTCCAAATGCATAATATTACTTTCAAACTTTGGGATACATGCAATTTCATATCGTCAACTTACTTCACGGGGTGTCTTAAAACCCAAGCCAATATCACGGTAGCGACGGAGAACCTTCTTCTTCGTCACTCCAGGCTTGAGTTTTCTGTTTAGGTTGATGCCAAATTGCTTTTGGAACGCTCTTTCGTTCTATTGGTTAGTATTTTGGTAGGGTTCACAGGATTAAAATCATGTTTTAACAGCCAGCAGGAACAATACACAGTGGGTAATGGGAATACATGCAATAAAAGAGAACACATTAGTTACATCATCTAATATTTTACCTCGGAAGGAGTTCTAAATCCTAAACCTATACTGCGGTACATTCGAAGCTTCCTTTTTGCATTTGGCGATTTCTTTCTAACTACTGGTATAGAAAACTGTTTGCTGTAGGACCGTTCAGTTTGCTATAGTACCAAAAGCGACGCCACAAATTTTAAAAAGAAAATAGTGATTTGTTCATTAAGTTCGGAAAGAAAAGAAAAACTAAAATTCAACAATTATTTTAATTAAATTTATATCAAAAACGGGATCAGATAATGCCACGGCTGTTTCAAAAGTCGTAACATATTTGTTGGGTAAACAGCCATCATGCATCTGAAGCAAGCAACAAACCCAATCCTCATTTCCCGATTTGAACAATTATTTTTCAATTCTCACGTTTCAAGCTTTTTTTACACAAAATATGTGGATTGGAAATTAAATAGCAACACATTTTACAACATCCCAAAACCACATGGTAGTCCAATATTTACACAATGCGAACAACTTCTAATCACTTTATCCTTTGCATTTTATAACTTCAAACTTTTCCAATGATTTTAAAGATGTACATTTATATTTTCATTTCATGATAATTTCTTTTAAAAAAATCGAAATCGAAAAATATTAGCACAACACTCCGAGTCTTACCTGATCAGCCATGTTGGTGTAAAAGAAAAGAACGAGAGGAAGTCGGTCGAACGAGTAAGAAGAATTATTTCACTCGTTATAAGTATTCGCTGAATTTGCCTGTTATTGTTCAAGGGAATTGTCAAGTTTTAAAATGTTGCCATATGAGAGAAATTACATAATTTAAAAAAAAAAGAATAGTCCATTCCAATATTTTTTGCCTTCCCCTCTATAAAGTAAAATATAATTTCTAGAGTAGACTAAAATAAATTAAGGAGCTGTATTGAGGAAGTCAAGGGATTGTCTGGATATGTATGTGACTAATCTGCTACTATATTCAGAACTTAGTTGTAAGATTACTACGAGAGTTTCAAGGCTCTGCAGTAGACGGTCCGTTAATAAAATTTCAATTAAGCATTAGCCTAATTTTCCCAATTCGTCTTGCGGTAATTATGAGTACCTGCCATAATTTCTTACTGCACAACGACTAAGTCACGAATGTTGTCAGTCAAGACAATATTGGAAAATGGTTCGGTGTGAGTTACCATAGGTCGTCATATTAATCGATCCCTCATTAACAGTGGTGTAAGGGGATTGTTGGAGACCTTTGATGATCACCCAAATTCTATACGCGCAAATTGTGGTAAATAGTGTTCACTTTGCAAAATCGGTATTAAATTAAATATGCTTAAGCCTAATTGTCTGCAATAGCAGTTTTAGGCCTAGTGGGACTTGAAACTAATGTTGTATAAATAAAAGTCATCAACTGAATTGTATTTTCGTCATCATTCAAACGAAATCTTTGGTAAACTTTATTGTAAGAATGTACGTATACATGCACGAACATATACGGACATAATAAATACCAATAGTTTGCTTTAACTAATATAATAAATAAACAGAATGAAAAGCGTTTACGTGAGTTTCTAGATGCTTATCTAAGTAGACGGTCACATATGCTTATTGAATATATATGTATATATATATTTAAATATCTATTGTGTCTTTTTAACGGCAGCGTTAACTGCAGTGGCAGTGATTATCTGCTTCGATTTCTTCAACGGATTTTCAACGCATTCTTTATAAAGTTGATTAAGCCCGAATTCAGCTCGCATATTATCTGTTGAAAAGAAGAATTTCTGCAATTTTCCCCTTGCATCACCACAAGGCCTCCGTTCCTCTTCTTTTCCGTTTTTAAAGAGTATAACTGTGGGTAGTTGTCGGGAAAAACTGCTGTCTGATATACGATATTTTTGTGCCACATCTGGAAAGCGTCCAATGTCAACTTTTCCAAACTTTAAGTTATCCAAATCATACTCCGCTGAAAGTTCAGCAAAAATAGGCGCAAAATTTACACAACTTGGATTCCATACAGTGTAGAAACAGATTAACCAATTGATTCTTTTATCTCGCACCAGCTCTTCCTCAAATGTTTGCATATTCCGGAAGTAGGTTATGTGCTCTGGACCACGGTACGATGGTTCTGGCAGAATAATACTCACGAGAACGCAAATTAATAAGAATCCGATACCATATCGGAAATCGCTATAAGCCCATAGTATAACATTGGCTACTTTTGTGTAGAGAAATGAGGCAGACAAATAATTGACCATGGTTACACTCCCAGTTTTTCGCGAACGTATCATAACCACAATTAGTAGAAAAAATAAAATCTCTGTTTCACGACTATCCAATTCACACATTTCTTCTCCTCGATGTTTGAAGAGTCTTGTACATATTGGATATAATTTTTTTGCTACTACATAAGAAATTGATAGAACAATATTTATCCAATAGTATGGCTTTGCAAGCTCACGAAACTGCTTTTGCAATGACATCTTCTGTTAATAATCACTAAAGCTGTGCTCTAAAATCTCAAGCAATTAGTATATATTAATTAATAGCATCCGTTTTTTCACTTTGCAATTATTTTGACAAGTTTGTCTCTCCACCCCTCACTTTATTGATAAAACATCTGTTCCAAACTTATACAAGCTTGCCACTATTCTGAAAATTAAAGAATAAAGAAAAGTATGAGCCAAGACGATTTATGAAGAAGTGATATTGGTTCATCAGCTGATCGGTGGTTGGTTGACAAAATATTTACCTTCCCTCATTTATTGCTGTTCATTTTTGTATGTTCGGAAATTTCGACCAAAAATAACAATAAGATCCTGATTTTTTGCTTGTATAAGGTCAATCTCATTTTGATCAAGAGCGAAGAGTATGCATAAGCACTTTTAAATTTACTTTTTAGTTTAGTATAGTGCGTTATGGGTCACTTAAGAAAAAAGTTTTACTAAGACAAGACAGAGTTTTTGAAGAAAAAAAACTGAATACGTCGATAAATCCTACTGGTAAAAAAAACATCCTTCAATTTTTTTTAAGAAAAAGGCGACTGGCAACTCTTAGTAATTTTTTACGCCCCTTCGCAAAATATAGGATAAACAAAACATTTCATATTCCTTTGCTTCCAACTTTTTAATAACCTGTCAAGAATTTTATTTTTAGAAATTTGAAAGAAATTTAAGCACATAAATTTTTTGGTTTTGACGTTGAACACTTAAATTTTTCGAAAATGCCTACAATCCGTCGGCGCAGGGGATCTTATGGAAGCTTCCTAAATTCAGATGAAGATGATGGCAGAGATGACCGTGACGGCTTCAGCTATGATTATCAAGAGGCACAATTTTTGTCTGACTCTGAGCAAAAGCTGCCATGGAAAACAATTTGCTTTATCATGTTTTTTCTGATCGTTGGTGTGGTAAGTGATTACTGTTTATCATAAAATATACTTGTAATAATTTATAATTTTATGTTTTACAGATTTGTTTGACGACAGCGGGACTGATTTACACAGAAGTTATAGATCAAGCATATATGGATCGTGCATCACCATTGCTAATTTTAGGATCTCTAATGATAATTCCAGGCGGATATTATAGCTATATTTTGTCATCTATATTAATGAAGCGTGAAGGATATTCTTGGGAAGATGTACCAGAAATTTAAAAAGTAGAATAACTTTGGAAGCTATTTGCTTGACAAATTAAAATTAACAACGTAGCTATATTATATAGTTTGAAAGATGTATTTTAAAGATAGTAATTACCACTTGCCGGGAAAGCTATTACTATCTTTAAAATAATTTTAATTGCTTTTAACTACGCTCAACTGTGTTCATGTATTTATATAAACTTGGTGATACTTAAATCGACTGTACTAGATTAAATGCCTTTTTATCCTGCTATCAATATTTATATATATATATATACATATATATAAATAAAAAGATGTTTTATTTTTGAATACAATTTAAATATTTAATATGCTAAAAATAAAGATTTTGGCTAACTACGAAGCGGCTCATTTAGCGTTTTTGCCTTTTTCTAAGCTTTGAATTATTTTACAAAACATTTGTACGCCTAAAAGAGTGCTCTTAAAATTATTGTAGAAATTTCATATAAAGTATCTACAGAGAATCTAATACAATATATATTATAGATTCTTTAGTATCTACTAGTTTTATTTGTCGTCCTCGGATGGTATCCGCTAACCAATATTCTTTATTTAGATATGGTATTAGTTCCTTTGGAAAGTTGAAAACTTTTGTGGCACATCCTACGATAGGGGTTATTTATAGAGAATCTTTGTTCTCTTTCACTATAACCCCAATATTAAGACGTCGTTACAAAGGTAAAGCTTCAATTTCAAAGCCTTCCAATCCTTCGTTTACATTACTATTCAGATCGTATTGGGTCCGAAACCTATCGTCAAAGGGATCATTAATCCCCCGAGCATATTTCTCCGTTTAGTATAGCAAAAGTACTGGTGAATCATCATAAGACTGATGTGTAATGGAAATATTATTTTAAGTTCTCTGGTGGTATATCCTATACTCGCCGTCATACTCTTTAGCCTTAAGGTACCGCGGGTTTACGATGGTGAGTACTTTATACATTAGAAAAAAGCACTGCCATTCATTTCCAAACAATCGGCTATTCTTAATATTTGACATTCTCTGTAAACGTCATCTGTCAATGCACTTCCATTTTTTTATTCTTTTTTTTGTTCCATCGCCGGTAAAGTGCATTTATTTAGTTAATTGCAACGGATTTTTTTCTTTCGAGTTGACAGTGTACATTTATTTTTCTTTAACTTAATTAACCATGTCTTCAAATCAATGGGAAGTTGTTACAAAATCAAAAAAAGCTAGAAATCTTGACAGAAAAGTAGAGGCCCATACGGAAAAAAAACGTATAGCTGCTTTAGGCCCAAAACTAGAAGAGATTTGTAGGTATTATCATAGAGTTATGAAATTCCAATTATCATAATTCTTTTTAGTGCCGTCGCATGAGTACCGAACTTTGGTTTCTGGCAAAAGGGGTAAAGAGAATTTGTCACCAGCAAAATCTGTCAGTTCCTCAACTAAGTCGAAATCATCTCCGAATAAAAAAAATGCCAACAATTCAAAAGATAAATCTACGAAAAAAGAACAATCATCGCAGCAACAGGCAAAATCGAAACCGGCCGCGTCGAAACCAAAAAGCTTAGAAGCTGTGCTACGAAATGTCACAGTAAATGACTTCGCAACCCAATTGGAACAATTGAGAATTGTTTATCCGGGGTCCGAGCTTCTTTGGCTTAAAGGAGTAATAATTACTTAACATTTTTAATGTAGTTTATTAAATTTTGAATTCGTTTTCTCTAGGTTGCAAGCTATTTTAATGAGCAACTACCATTTGACTGCGATCCCACATTCTCAGGAAAATCGATACATTATCCAAGCAATTTAGCAAGTGCTGCACTAAATACTATTGTTGTTGAGTTTTTGGAATCCGTTGGTGAAGAGAATTTGTCATATTTTTATCATACTCTCCTAATAAGTATGACCGGGGAGCTTTCAAAAAATTTACCAATCGTCGGTTATAAGGTGAATATTATTTGCCGTTTATTATGTACAATATTTATATTTAAATGTTTTGCTGTTTCAGTATATATTGCAGTTAATTGGTCAAAATTGGCCGCATATTGCTTCCAATAATATGGCCAAGATTGCAATGTTGCGAAATTCCTTTCAAAATAGGAGCAACATTTGCTTGAATATATTATGGGCGATTGGTCAAGGGGGTTTTAAGCAATTGACGGAGGGTATTAAAGGTACATATGCTAACACTTGACAAAATATATTGTCAACATTACAATTTACATACACGCACGTTAAGATTAATAATTTTTTCATCCACAGTGTGGCAAAATTTAATGTTACCTAATTTGGAATTAAAAAGCTATACAAAATTTGTAACCGAGTATTTAGAGAGAGCTTTGTCTGCTGCCGGTGAAGAGTATGTGAGAGTAAACTAAAGATAATTCAATTTTAAAATATTATTCCTTTCAGGTGTTCAATCACTTTGAACCAAAACGAATTTTTTTCGTTCTATAATGCATTGAAATCTAACTATTCCATTCCAAAAGAGAATCAAGAGACTTTAGCAAAATGTGCACATGGTTTTTTGGTAACTTTTTTTTATACTAAGTTCAAATATCAGAAAGGTTTCAAATATATTTTTTTTTGCAGATGAAGTATATTCTATCAATTACTAAGCATGCAAACATTTTTGTTACACTTTTCCGTTGTATTGAAGATGGAAAGAAAAACCGTAGTGAGTTGTTGGCTTGTGTTTCTTGCCTTGTTAATGGGGATGATAGCTTTAAAGTATGGAAAATGAATTATAAAAAGCAACTGTTACCGTCTGTACTGCTGTTCAAAGAAATTGGTAAGAATTCATTAAATAATTTAAACTTCTTAAATTTAAATAATATAACTAAAATTTGTATATTACGACTAAAAAACTTATTTTTATTTGCAGAAAAACAACTCGATGAGAGCGATAAAGATATTTTAAAACTAGCATGTTCTAAAGCATTCCATATATTCCTGGAGGAAGCTCAAAAACTGAATGAAGAGTTGGATGCTGCCAAAAGGAAAGACCCAAATTTGGAGGATTTGATTGCGGTTTTAAGGGTACGTACGTTATTACTACTCATTACACATTTCGTTTAAACGTTAACACAAGTGATACCCACTGCATTTGTTTAAAAAGAGGCTTCGAAATATTTGTTTTGTTTATTCAAATAAACTGTAAAGTTGATAACTGCCTTCATTATCTGAAATTATGCCCTTAATGTTTCTTGAGTGCAAAAGATTCAGTGGAGACTACATGTAATAATAACAAATTTTTTGTTCTTTACCAATCTGGCAACTTCTCGAACATTTTAGGAAAAGAAAAGGCGAGTTCATTTCCAATTAGTCCGAAACTGGGGAGAGGTGTGATCATTGTGTGAGCAACACCGATAGTGGTTTACTTTGTGGATATTAGTAAAAATTTAACAGTGAATTAGTAGAGATAAATTATAGCATATATAGAGAATTAACTTCTTTAAAAAGTATATGCACATTAAAAATTTCAAATTTTTATGTTAATAATCTAAACATATCCTGCAGTTAAAAAAGTGGTTGGAAAAAATCGATTAGCAAATCGCAATTAAAAATAAGGGAAAAGGAAAGGGAGGATATGAAGAGTTCAAAATGTGCACATTTCCTTTTCTGTTTGAAGCGGTTTGAAAAATTCGGAAAGTATACACACTTTCGCCCCAGAAAACGTATAGAGTGATAGGGAATTTATGTATTAACTTTCCAATTTTTTTTTAACTCGATACTAACTTAAATATGTGTATAAAAATTAATAAAAAGCAAATGGAGTAGAGAATTTGGTAGATGAAGCGTACAAAGTATGCGACGTGGAATTGTTTTTTCTTTTTTTTTTTTTGAGAGAGAGAGTTGGATGAATTTCTTAGGAGCAGCTGTGTATGTACATTGCATATACATCTATACATATATTTGCTGGATGCTTTCTATACTCGGGTGCAAGGTCTGCGACAACAACCGTTTTAAACATTTAATACTTTCATGTAAAATAAAAAAAAACCGAGATTGTGGAAATAAATTTCTTTAGTTTATTTCCCTATTTACTCACTACATCAAAAATTATTGTATTTGAAAATGGATGACCTTCTGCTCATATTTACCGGCTCCATTGTTTACACGTGGCTAATAGTGGAGCGTGTTTTTATATAAATTCATATGTATGTATGCATGTTTAAACCAAAAACTATTAAAATATACATATAATATTTTCAGTGAGTTTTGTTTCTTTTTTTTTTTAGAGAAGTTTGAGCACTGGCTTCATATTTGTTTATAAAAAAGCTGTGCGTTATCAATTATACATTTTTTGTTGTTGTTGATTTTCACTGAAAAACTAACATTTAGTTCTTTGTTAGCTTCATACTATAAGTGGTTATGCCTCTCAAAGGTTTATTCACCTTTCTATTCTTACTTTTACCTGATTTAGCTTGTTTTTGGAATAGTAAATGACGTGGCTAGGCGGCCAAAATGCTTATCGTAATACACTTGCATACACACATCCAATGCATATATGTATATGTAAATTAGTTTTCGACTGAATGCATGTCACAGCTTCTTATCTGATAGCCTCTAAGCGGCATAATCGTCAGTTCGTTGATTTAACGGCATTTCTAAGCTAAAATATTCATCCGTAACTATGCACGGTCATAGTTTCGTATGTCTAAACTGTGTTGGGGTTGTGTTTGGTATAATGACGTGTCGCAAAATTGGTTAAAAAAATCTGAAAATCATTAAAGGTCTTATAGCAAAAGGTATATGTACATATGTATATATTAATAAATGAGAATTGCTTTTTCATAAGAGTGCTGCCAGATGGCACTAGACGCGCAAGTTTAAAGCCTGTCTTCGGCTATATTTCTCTGGCGTTGTTTGCTCATTTGGAGACAGGAGAAAATGCCTTCGATGAAGTGGAATTTGTTCCCCAAAATTATTATTATAATGTTTTTTTTTTTTTAATAAATTACCTTGACCAAAAATTCAACAACCAATTGATTCTTTTTGACGCACGCCACTGTATTTCCTCTGTTATTTTTTTCATTATACTTGCGCTTGCAAATATTTGTACATACACATATACATGTGTAGGTATGTGGGTACTTAAATATATTTGTTGAAAATGAAACATGTACTTTAAAAAACACGCAATGTCAAGGACCAATCGTAGAACATTACGTTTGCGAGTGATAAGTGTTGTCTTCGTTATAAAAAATATATTAATTGCATTTGAAAAATATTCTGATGCTATAATTTAAACACATACTTATGCAGTAGGTATAATATATTAATGCAGACGTTTAGGCTTTGAGAACTCTTAAATTTTAATTCGGCGGAATAATTCAGAAAAATATTATTTTGAGCCACTGTCATACATATATTTCAGTTGAATCTTTTCTCAGCTTCAGCGGTTATGTATTGCGGGTACAGAATTCTTTGTTTGTTTTGACCACAACACAACAAAATAAAAACTTTAGTGTGATTAAATTAAATGCCGACTTTTTTTTTAATGAAATATTCATGTATTTGATAAATAAATTTTGAACGCTTTTCTGTAAGCTTTTTTTTTAATTATGTATACATACATACATTTGTACCCCCAATTCCCTCTTCATTGTCATGGAATAAAGAGAAAGTCAAGAGACAAAAAGGTCAATCTTAAAGACTTGCGATTTCCAATTGATTTATTTGAACCATTTTACTGTGTTTTAAAGCGACAAAAAAAAGCTTGCATACAATACAAATGAGCATACATACATATTTAAAGTGCCTTATGTTTTTTATTATTTTAGTTAAATATTTTTAAAACCCATAACAGTTATTTGCAATAAAAATGGCACAAAATAACAAAGGCAATAAAAATAAAACCAAACAACCAGCCGGTAAAAAGGTAAAACACACTCCTAGTTATTTAACGATTAATTTTAATGATTTAAAAATATACATACATATGTATTTACTGATTAATTAACGTTCCTTCTTTCTATTATAGAATGTTCAAGAGAAAACAACACAGCAGAAGAAGAAACAAATAGCAAGCGAACAAAAGAAATGCGGTTCCTGCTGCAAGTGGATTTTCGGTAGTTTTGTATTACTCGTATTGATTGCCGGCGTTTTGATCTACGATACAAATGTAAATGGCAAAGGTGTTTTTGAACGGTCAACTGTTGGTAAAGCATTGAAAAATGCCGGCGTATTGCCGCATGTAGAGAAAGTTTGGTTCACAACGATGGGCGCAGCGGCACGTGGCTATAAATGGGTCGAACATCATGTACCGCCTTACGCGAAGCCTGCAGGTCAGCTGGCGTGTGATCTTTTCAAATTGGCGCGTAATACTGCATGTAATGTATACACCGTGGTGTCGGAGTTTGTTGCAGGAAAGCTGCCAGCTGTTGCTAGTTTTGTGAGTATCTTGTTAATTTCCCATTTATGTTTTATTTCTACCTTTATATTTAATTACAAGCTAAAAGATGACATCATCCATTGGAGATGTTTAGAGATTTGTGCATTTTTACGTTTTGCTTTAAAGGCAGTTGTTGTCTATTATGTTTGCAAAAATTAATTTGCATGTGTGTGTGTGTGCATACGATGTTCAGTTCAAAAGAGCAAAAAAAAATCTCAAACGTTGAATAGAAACCGGTTTCACTGTTTGCTAAGGGAAAATGTTTAAATGGAAGTCAACGCGTTGAATTGGTTTTGCTAAAATTAATTATAGAATTTTTTAGTTGTATTAAAATAATAATGACTAATAGAAATTTTTTCTGATTTCTACAGCTCTATGAAAACTGGCTTAAAAATATTGTACGTTAATTTTTCAATATATTTCCTTACTAAAAATTGAGTACAAAATAGTTAAAAAATGTCAATTAAATTTACTGCTAATAATATTCCTTTTTATATACGTACATACATCTGCATTTTTGGAAAGGAAATTAATGCATTTTTTTATTGTAATTTCAGTTGGAGCAATATATTCCCGGTCTACCCAAAAAGATTGAAAACACATCTTTGGCGGTTAAGAATGTATGTGTAGAAGCTTTCGGCCGAGCGGTTGGTTTCTTCAGGACACAAGTTTTTATGTACGTTAAATAACTATTAACTTTCCATATGTAATTACGAATAGAAAATGTTCTCTTTTATTTTTGTTGCAGTGGAAATCTCTCACCTGAAAACATAAACAAAGCTCTGAATCAAACTCAGAATGTTGTTATCGATTACTATAATCAATTCCATAAAAAAGTTGATACTTATTCCAAGCTGAAATGATTTTAAGAATTATAAAAAATCACAACATACATACATGATGGCGATCATCTCCACCAATTTAAAATTCAACTCAAGAACTCACTGTACAACAACAACACCACCACAACATCAATGCCAATCACCCGACAGTAAAATGGATTGCCCCACAAATTATGATATCGCCATGTTAGTCCAAAAAGTTGGTCTAACTTTTCGATGAGTGCTGTCCAATAAGGTTCAAACTATTTTTTTTTTTGCTCCCTACCGCTGCAAAAATTTATTTATAAAGAAACGTATGTAAACGGTGTAAATTACTAGAAAATTATTGTACTGAACCTCTTTATTTAAGAACAAATTTTGAAATTTAATTGTAGTAAAAAAGCAAAACGAATTAGTATTGCTTACCGATTTAAATTGTAGTAGTAAATTTTGAGAAAAAAATTAAAACTACTGAGAATTTTATTGTGAAATTTTTACAAGAACTTTATTTTGATTAACTCTCTAATAGGTTTCAAGTACCAAAACACTATTGTTTTTTTTTTTTTTTGCACAAAAACAATATGCGTGTTGTAATACAAACATATTACAAAAAATATTTTTTTCCCATACACACTCAAAACAAGTTGACTTAAAATATAGTTGTCGGAGACAAACCGATTTGCAATCTGAGCTTTCGTTGTGGTGCAAAAGACCAAAAAAAAGGTGGCATACTATTCCAGTTTGTATCAAATTTTAATCTATTGATATCAAATAATACTTCAATGCATTTTTCTTAGTTCATTTTGTGAATTGTGAATGAAATTTTTTTTAAATAAAAATATATTTAAAAGTTGTAAGTTTTGGTTGTTGTTTTAAAAACGTTTCTCTGTTTTCGTTTAATTTTCTTTTTTTAAACAAAGTTCTTAATTATAGAGATGCTGACATTTGGCTGAAGGCTTAATTATATTTCGAATGTTTGTATTGAAGATGATTGAAGAAGATTGCTTTCATTTGCTCTTGAAGATTGTAATTAACGTCGAAAAAGAGTTGATTTACGAATATTATATAACATATAATATTGTATTGAACTTCGAAAAAGTTTCAAAAATATTTTAGGTTAAATGACGAATTTTAGGTGAATTTTTCTGGAAAATTAAATTCCGTGTATTTGTAACTTTCCTCTTCTAGCGATAATAAAGCTTCAAATAAGAACTTCCAATTCCGTGTCATATACAATACTAGAGGAACGCCAATTCTGTTATAGATTTGTAGGAGCACTATGTTGCTTTTATTGTTATTGTTGATTCCACTAATCCCATCCACATTCAATACCTAATGCTACCTGTTGATCTAAGCAGGGTAAGAGTACAGACTCGAACTCGATATGAAAGCCGATGCCGTAAAAATTCCGACAATAAACTGCCCATAATTACTGGCAGTCACATTCGACAGCCTTCACTCCTTCACTTCTCATACGACCGAACTCCAAAGCCACAACCAAATCCTCAAAGCCCTAGCCGGCATCAGCTAAGGAAAATATAAATAAACTTTGCTGGCAACGTATGAAGCATTGGCCGGACGGTCGTAAACTACGCTGCACCGATCTGTGCACCGGGGATAAACGAGACGCAGTTGAAAAGTCACATACCTGCCAAAATTCCACTCTTAGGACCACGACATTTCGATGTTGCCACCACCTCTTTACATGTCGCCTAAAACCAACATCTAACTCCCTTCTACCCTCTCTACCTAGCGCCCGAACCCGTCGTAACAGCTCGACCTCCCGTTAGATGATCTCGGTGACTTGGATTAACTATCCTGGAAGGATAGAAAAAACACCCTTCAATACCTTGTGATAAATGCCAATAGCTCATGAAGATATCTTAACAATTTCCAGAGTTATCGTGTAAGGAAGAAGTAATGCACGCGTCGCTGGTTCCTACAAAGTGTTTAAGTTGTTGCCCGAAAGGTGATATTAAAAACTACTTCCGCTAATCTTTCTACCTTCCTTTCGGCGTTTTTGTGCCAATCGAAGATACCCCAAGTGCACCTAGTGTCCTCTTCACTTGGTCTTTCTAAATAAGTTGAGGTATTGCTCTGCTTCTGCTTAATTACCGGAGTGCTGTCATGAATTCGATCCACATGATCCACATTTGCCGTTCCCAACGAGTAGAGAACCAGAAATTTTACGCAAAACACCAGTAATGTCTACCGAGCGTCTCGAAGATGTACTTCCCGATCCTGCTGCCATATTACACAGTCGGGGTAGAGGCTACTACTATTCATGCTGTCGAAGGCTGCTTTCACGGGTTTCCAAGACTTAGCGCTTATGAAATATTTTACCAAGTTTGAGCTGCACTGATAAGTTCCAATCTCTTTCTTGGCAGTGGGCTTTAGTCTTAAAAACACAATGCGCTCAAAAGGATCCTAGATCTCCAGCTCATGTCGCAAAAATAACAAAATTGACAATTGAATTGATTAAAAACAGCGCAATACCGAGCGATGGAGCTTAAATTAGGCATAGTTTTAGGCGCAATAGCTTTCGTTTAGCTATTAGGGTTGGAAATTGGATAAGCTTACATATAAAAAAGAAATACATTTTAAAAGCTCATTGATAAAGCTTTTTTGTGCAGTAAACGATAACATTCTCATAATTTCTTCACATTCTCTGTTTACATATTCAGCAAGGCTGTTCAATTTTGGGACAATTTGTAAATGGTGCGAATTTTTTGTGACAATCTATCATCAACAGTTATTGCAGGTATTATTATGGCAAAGAAGTTATAGAAAGTATAGAAGAAGAAGAGAAGTTTACAAAAGAATAATTTTGCTTGCATTGCCCAATATCGTTTATAGGCGTATCTTTTCAACAGAATACGAGACGATCAGTATTCTGTTACTGTGACCGTTCCTAGTTTTAGTAAACTTTCTCTTACACCAACAGCTGGGAACATTTCCATTCAACAGAAGCAACAACGATTAGCAGAAAAACGCAAATATTTTGCTATGTAAATTAACAGCTCCAGAGGAGTGGCTTTTTTTCCTTGGGTTTGGTTTGAGTGCAATGTAAAATGCGTGGCGAATTTTCGGAGTTAAAAAAAACTAACGAAGATATTCGCCGAAATGTTAAGAGTCCAAGTGTGGGTATGAGGGTCGCAAAGTAATTCGTAAATTTCGTTTGCGGCGAAAGGATGTTGTCGTTCGAGCAGCAAATACCTCGACTGCATGGCTTCTGCCAGAAGTGTCAGTGACTGTGCTGGCAAGACAGCATAACGGTCGCGTTTATTATACGAGGCGGATGAATGTTGTATTTCTTTCGAAAGCTTTAACGTACGTATGTGTGTGCGTTAATTTATCGTAAAAAAAAAATTCGTTGCGAACAGTGCACCGGGATAAAAGAATAAGTAAAAAATGAATTATGTAAATGTGAAAAGTGAATGTTTTATGTGTGTGTGTTGAGAAATATAATTATGCGAAAATGGAAAAAAATAATAATAATTACACGTTTGTAAAAGTTCTTCGAATGTGAAAATATCGTGCAACACTTTTATGAAATAAAATATAAATAAAAAATACGAATAAGAATATATACATATATTTAAAAAATATTTTAAATAATTAAAAATACAAATTTTGTGCAAAAGCGATAAAATAAAAAAAAAAATAATAATAATAAAGAAAAATATTTGAGATTTTTAAAAATGGCGAACATTACAAAAAGTTCATTTGGCAATTTAGTAAGAAAATAAAACTATAATATTAGTGACAAAGTATGCTATTAAATCGTGAGTCGCATTTACAATTTCATGTTTTTACTTGAGTTGAAAAAGGAAAAGATATAAAAATAAAAATAAAAATTAGTAAAAAATTAAATAAAATAATATACAATAAAAACAAAATAATAAAAAAAATGGAAACATTAAAATGATTAAATAATAATTCATAAGTTTATAATAATATAAAAAAAAACACAAAAATAAACAAAACAATAAAAGAATTAATTTAAAAATTTTATTTAATTTGTAAGTGAATGTGTTTAAGTTAATTAGAAGGTAAAAAAAAAATAAAAAATGCGTAAAAAAGTAAGTTTAGGGGTTTTCCAGGCAAACTTTCCTCTGGCGGTCCGTTTTCCGATGTATAAATTTATATGCTTAAAGACTATTTTCAGTTACACAGTAAAACAATAAATTTAAAGTTTCTATTAGATGCCAAATTCGAAGTGCTTGGTTGCATGCTTATATCTTTGCCAGCATCAGTTATGGTTGGAAAAAAACAGTTCTTCCTTGCCCCTTAAATGCTTGAAGAGCCAAAGAGCTCAAATAAATTACACTAACCCTGAGCTCACCCCCGAGCTTCACCCAATAATTAAGTATGAATGGTCATCCCGCACCACCTCTATATTTAAATAAGGAGCTCACCAACAAACTCCTTTAAAAACCAAACGGCTCTTTGAATACAATTTATGGATATCAAACTCGTATACCAACATCTTCCCTACTCTTAAACATCCTCTCCCTACATCCCACAAAGCTTAGACACTATTTAATATTTATTTATACCTTAACGAGGTAGTGAGAATGCACTACTAGTTGCATAGGGTTGGTTGCTTGGTTGATTAAAAGAGGATGGTTGAGGAACTGACCGTAAGCGGCCGCACCCAAGCTATTGAACAGGCTAATTGTGCTCCCTCGTGTATCCCAACTAAACTAAACTGTTTTAGTTTGTTCCAACCATGCGTGTCCACCAACGTAAGATTGGAATTGGAAGTATCGTGAAGGATGTGACTTCTCAATCGCCTGAAGGCCGGACACTCGCAAAGATAGTGCTCCAGCATTTCGCCATCCTCTCTGCATGCTCTACACTCAGCTGATTTCACTTTACATTTCATTTTAGCTTATGGTGATGATATCTCAGGCGTAAATGCACATTAATACAGCCATAAGAATACTATATTCCATTTTGTTTCATGAAAGTAACATTCTGGTATGCCTACTAACCACGCTGCCTCACAATAACTTAGTGGTACTCCTTTACGTTGTAAGATTTCCAAGATCTTAATTGTTCCTCTATGAGCCACTGCTTCAAACAACATTTGAAGGCGTTGAAGGGTCTGAGGCAGTCGATGGTGACATTCTCGAAAGCGTGAGCCAGTTCGTTCGCTTTTTCATTGCCTATTACATCCGCATGATCTGGGACTTAAGTGGTATTGAAAGTGTTTTCTCGCAATAACTAAAGTCTGGCACAATTACAGCAAAAAGTTTGTCTGGTCCTAAGATAAAAAGGTGGCCATTGTTTGACTAAAAACGTTACAAAAATTTAAAACTTTTGTAACAAATTGAATGTGTCTGCACTGTGTCTTAGATATATGAACGCAAATCGCTTTCTTTCCTTCTGTACTTACGTATATCTCCCCTCTCAACTTCCGGTTGCCTCGTCCGGTCCAACAATTCGAGCAGTTTTACTCCGGGTGAATGTCGTTTAGCAAATTTAAGTACGAAATGCGGGTTAGTAAGATCATCTTAGCGGTCGAAATAGCAGTGTGGTTAGCAGAGCGTACCGTACCGTTCGAAAGGCCAGGGTGCGCCCAACATCCAGCCATGGGGCGCTGGGGCAAGTGTATTTCTGAAATGTATGTGTATGATATCCATCGGTCGTTCGGAGGCAGGTCAGAATAAACTGTAGGTCCCTTTATCTGTTGGAAAACACCAATACGCATACCACAAATCGAATGAGGAGCTCGGCCGAGAGACACTTCAGCGATTACAAAGTGCCAATATATGTATGTAAACATCCATTGGCCGTTCGTAGGCGAAGGGAAAACATCATAAAGACACACATCACAAATTGAAAGAGAAGCTCGGCTGAAAGTCGCTGCAGTGGTTGGTGCATTCCCGGAAATTTTTTTTACACATTTTTACCAGCTCTTTCTTCATTTAGGTAATAATCACTCTGTTCTAGGTTTGGGCAAAATATTGAAGCACACCATATGCAGGGCAGCCAATCCAACACAGGTCTTGTATACGAGCGTGTTGTCGTGGAAAGCAAGCACACCTTTCGTCAATTTTAACAATCTTTTCTCTTTAAAGGCTTCTTTTAGTCCCTTCAAGATTAAAACTTGGTATAATACCCCACTCCTTTATAATCGATCACGGAAGGAATGTATCACAAAAGAACTCATGGCAAAGGTTTTCCATGGTAAATTTTTCCCAGCTGACTGTGACACCTTAAATTTCTTGGAAGGTGTTGTGCCTCGGAGCTGCTGGAGCCTTGTTTCAGCTCAAATTCTTATTGATGAATCCAAGTCTCGTCTCTAGTAACAGTTCGATTCAATATATCATCTTCCCTTCAATACATAGATCGGAAAATGTACGTGAACCCTTTACGTGCTATTGTTTTTGTGGGGGCGTGAGCATTCTCGACACCTATCTGGCTCTGATCTCTTAGATGATGCTGTGGGATCTTAAAATCGTCTTCAGTCGAGCATTGCCTGTGATAAATTTTTCTACTTTTTGGATGCTCTTGACGAGTCTTCGGTCGTCTTTAAAGGACTTCCTTTCTTGTTTAAAAAAACTGTGCCGCTTATACATTACGGCTTTTGCTGGAAAAGAGTCGCAAAAGATATCTCATTGACTATGGTCGCAAGTGATTTTCCTTGCTTGGTAAGGAACTTTATAATGGAACGATATTCGAATTATCTATATCTCTATATTTCTTTGTTGATGATAGCTCAAATACTACTAAATGAGACCTCGTATTTATATTAATTATGACCAGAGGGCCAAAAGAGCCTAATGACAACCCTTAAGGGGTTACATAGGTCTTGAAACTTAAATAAATTCTTTTTTTTTTTATAATTTTTTGTATAAAAGTACAAAGAGTCAGGAATATTTTCCTCAAGTTTCAAGCCGAAAGAGACGAAACTGTAGAAATTAGATAGTTTCTGCCGTCTTTGTCATGGCTTGACCGATGGCGAAACTTTAAAAGTGATTTTCTTAAAACCACTTTATCGAAATCTCAACGACAATTAAAGCGATCGATTTCAAGTTTTCGACACTTCTTTTAAGCATGTTTTTTTTAGTCCCTGAACGAAGGATTTTATCTTTGATTTCAATTCATTTTACAAGCCAATATGTGGCCTGATTTTATGCAAAAAATGACGCTACAAAAAATTCAATTTTTAATTTTTGTAATTTTTCTTCCTTCAAGGACAAATTGAAAAAGTTATCATGACCACCGCGAAAGCACTTTCTTGTGGATGGTCCACTTCACGACACAGCCAACGTCTTAATTTATACTATTTTTCATTAAAATTTACATCAAATGTTGTCCACATATTGTACTTTTATATATGTAGAAACAAAATAAATTGTATACTTTATTTAGTATATTTTAAAAAAATTTGAAAAAATAAGTTTTTTTGGCCTTCAAGACCTATGTAACCCCTTAAATTCTTCCATAGCGCGAGCATAGAAACCCTTTCTCCTATATACTATACTATAAAATTTAACCCCTGATTGGTGGTGAATTTGATGAAATTTAAAATAACGGTGCCACAGCTATTTATACAAAAGTTTGCTATCTGTTGAATTAAAAGTAAAAATAATTTTTTTATATAACAAAATAAATATTTGGTTTTACCACCAGCATTGAATAAATTAATTTTCAAATGCTTTTAATATACATCACTATTTTTAATTAAATATTTTAATATTGCTGATAGTGAATTGAGATTATTTTTACAAAAAAAAAAAAAAAAAAAAAAAAAATCAAGAAAAAACAAAATGGCATTCAAAACATTTGAAATACTGTCAGTGATTAAAAGTTGTCAGCAACTTTGTGTATACAAAAACCAACACGATTGACAGAAATTACAAAACTTACGTACTACTATCACCGCAGCAAGTATTTAATAATAAACAGCGAAATAATTCAAATTCTCTCACTGTTCAAAGTGTCACTGGCAGCAACAGTCGTCATGTCCTTCACCAATGAATTGACAACAATTTTATTATTGTTGCTCACATTTTTGTTAACAACAATGACGCCAACGATAAGAACAACAACCGTATTGGACACCAGTAGCAGTGAAATAAATGGCATACAACAACAACAACTGCATAAACAACAACAACGAGAGACAATGCAGGGAAACACTTTAGGTGAGTATAAATTTTGAAAAACAAAAAAACCGTTGATTAAATTTTTTAAAGAGTGAAATTTAACTGTAATTTTGGCTTAAGAAATTAAATCTTATTTGCTGGAAAGTATATATGTAAGTTCGTAAACTTCATTATACCACTCTCGTAGAAGGCTGCGTCCCTATTGGCAAAAAACTCGGAGAGCCAATTTTCATAGGCCTCTCTTGAGGCCAACTTCTCACCATTAAGCGTGTTCGCCATGGACAGATGGTAATCACTTGGTGCCGGGTCCGGACTATAAGGTGGGTGCATTAGGATCACCCATCCGAGCTCCTGGAGCTTCTGGCGCGTCACCAAAGGCATGTGTTGCCTGGCGTTGGCCTGATGGAACACAATTCGCCCTCTATGGATCAAATATGGCTTCTTTTCGATGAGTGCTGCCTTCAAGCGGTCCATTTTTTGGCAATAGAGGGCCGTATTGAGCATTTAGCCATAGGGGAGCAGTTGGTAGTAAATGATTCCTTGCCGATCCCACCAAACACACAGCAAAACCTTCCTTGTCATCAATCCGGTCTTGGCCACCGTCTGGGCCGCTTCCCTCAGCTTTGACTACGACCGTTCGCGCTCGATGTTGTCGTAAGTGACTCATTTTTCATCACCAGTCACAACCCGCTTCAGAAACGGGTCGATTCAGCAGCGATGTGCAAATGGAAATTCGGTCCATCATATTTTTTTACGTTAGTTCGTGTGGTACCCAAGCATCGAGATTATTTTTGAATCCAACGATATGCAAATGGTTCCAAACGGTTTTCTAGTTCATCTTTAGTTCCTCAGCAATTAAATAAGTGCTCACATGATGGTCTGTTTCTACTATTTCCATGATTTTATAGCAATTTTCGACGGCCTGTCTCAACGTGGAGTGCATCTTTGACCTCGAAATTACCGGAACGGAACCTAGCAAACCACTTTTGTGCTACACGTTCGTTTACAGTATCGAACCCATAACCCAAATTAATTTTTTCAGCCGCTTTGGCTGCTTTTTCGCCTTGATCGAAGAAAAATTGTAAAATATAGCGAATTTTCTCTTTGCTGGTGTCCTTCTTTGACGAGCGCTCACAACGTACTGAGTCAATCAATCGGAAAACCGTCAAAGACAAACTTTTAGCGCGAGTAAACACGTATAGTATGACATGATGCGGCACGTAACACTATTTCTATAGACAATAATGCCATCTCTTAGATAAGAGGCGGATCCGTCTATTTGTACTTAAACTGGTTTAGCTCTCGATATATCAAGCTTAGTACACAAGATTATTTTTTGGAATCGGTCAGCTCGGAAAGCTACAGCATAAACAAATACGACTGATGTTTCAGATTTAAAATTTTGGATCATAGATCTGTCAAAAAAGCATCTAAGAGCATGAAATTCGATATTCTACACATTGAGGCTGAAAATTATCACAATCAAATGACTATTATATATAGCCCCCATATAACCGATTTGTTCAGATATGTGAAAAAACCTCAAAACAACATCTACAAGCGTGAATTTTTGAACTCTGCAAACGCTTTCAAAGAAAAACATTGTCACCGAAAATCATCGAAATTGCGTTTAATTTAATATAATTCTATTTTATTTTATTTTGTATTAATTAATTGTTTTTTATTTAAATTTTATTATTTTTGAATTTTTAATTGAATTATGTTTTACTCTAAGGTGTTTATTTTATTTTGTATTATATTATTAATTAATTAATTATTTTTTTCATTTAATTTAATTTTATTTCACTCTATTGTTTTTTATTTTATTTTAATTATTTTATTTCATTGTTTGTTGCTTCATTTTGTTTCACTTTTTTATTCTCTATTCATTTTGAAGTAGTATTAAAATGGCCAGTTTTTTGTATTGAAAAGGGGTGAACTAGTTCTAAACAGGGTTTACTCTACCTCAATCGACAGCGAGGTAGGACTTAATATATGTACGTACATGTATACGCAACTGTTACATAGTTCATGCTTTCGGTGAAATATGGCGATATTTGTTGTTGGTGGTGCATAAAGCATATTGCGTATACGCCACACGTGCTATCTGGTGCATAAACATATCACAACTTCAATATTAATGCGTTACTGACTCAAACTGCTGTCATATGCTACTTGCAGCTCGCTCTACCTCCTACTACGAGTACTATACGAGTACTACGCGCATAGAGGCTAATTTAAAAGTTTCATTGAAATTCCTCACGCAATGTAACAAGGTAATTTTAAAAATTTTTATAAGCAGCACTAAAAATGTTAACATTTCCCTCGTCTTTGCTTGCACACTCATGTATGTACATATGTACTATATGTTTGACAGTAAATATTTTACATTTGTTTACTCATGTATGTATATATGTATATGCTTGCATAAAACTCGTACATCATATCACGTGTACTTGAAAGTTAATAGTAAAGTGTTTGCTTGTTTTCATGCGTATTCTACCAAACACATAGACACACACCCACACATGAAAGTGCTTAGTTGCAAGAAGGTACGAGGGTGAGTTGTTACATTTTTACAGTAAAAAGCTTTGCGGTTTCTAAACAAATCAAAAGAAATCTGATCATAACGATGTTCTAAGTCTGCTCTCATTTTCCTTTAGTGAGTTAGAATATATATGTTTTATCCTCAACGTGAGACTTTAATAGACGCCGTAAGTGAAAAATTGCGGGAAAGGCCGTCTTTGCAAATAGTATCTCTTACAGAAGAATGTCTTTGATTTATAATGAGATGCTGGTTCTTCTTGAGAAAACAAGTCCCTTCAAACTGCCGGCTTAGACCGAGCTCTGCTTCCAGGGTGTGATGTGTGTCTTAATTAATATCTTTCTTCCCAAGAGCGATCGCGCAAGGATAAAACTTGCCACGATTTCACAAAACTTTCTCGGCGGGCATGCTTTTCTGAGTATTTCTCAAAATATTTTTTATTTTAGCTAAGATAAAGTAAAATATTGTAGAATTATGAAAAATAAAAATAACAAAATAAAATGAGATAAATTAAAAAAGTAGAGTTAATTAAAGATAAAATCATGCTAAATAAAAAATTAATTAAATTAAATCAACAAATAAAATGAAACAAAATAAATTAAAAAATTATTAATTTAAAATAATAAATGAAATAAATAATAAAATTGTAAAAAATTTAATGAATATAAATAAAACATTATGTAATAAATATAGAACAAAATCAAATAAAATAATTTAAAAATTATAAAAAAATGGATTAAAGATAAATAAAATAAAATAAAAAATTCTCAGAAAAGCTAAAGAAGCTTTCTGGCATTAAGCAGTATAACCTTCCTAGCCAGGTGAAGCAATGAGGTACTGGCATCTTCTGCCAGAACTCCCAATCATATCAGACATCCTGACCAGTGTAGCATTTGGCAAGCTGACTGGCCACTTTCCGACTGGTACACATCCGGTCAAGCTAAAAACCCATCTTTGAAGATGACAAAACGCTTTCTACGCAACTTTTCAGCCTTTGGAAGATTATAATAAAATCACCAGAGAGCTATCGGGTATTGAAGATTGCAGTCTTCAGATATTCTTGATTGGCAATAAGCATTTTCTAGACTTTCAAGGTCTTACTTCTCCGTGGCAACCTCACACTAGCAACCAGCCTAGAACTTTATTTGACTTGAAACGACTTCTGAATTGGTTACCTTTTTCTCACAAGACCTTGTTGTTGCACCCTAATAAACCCACATAAGTGTGTATATATTTTCGAATGCATTAGTTTGTCTGAAAATGTATGTGAGTGTTGTTGAATTTACTTAAAAATATCGGGAGAGAAATTTCATTACAAGCAGGGACAACGTGTTGTGGAAGGAAACAAGCGTGTAGACTGTGCGTAGCGTAAAAATACTCAGCATCTGAACATTTCACGTGCAAGTGGCATAACTATTGTATATGCATGTGTGTGTAACCGTTGCCGAATATGTAAACAGACGAATAAATGAATGAATGAGAATGAATGAGGCAACGAGTGCACCAGTGAGAGTAGTTGCGGAAAATTGCACACTTGTCATATTATAAAAGAGATGAAACTCATTTGTGCGCTTTGTAGCATTTAAATTCATGACTCGACAAGCAGCTCACTAGCAGCGGCTAGTTGTTCGCATAGGATACTAGGCGGCACTAGTACTTTATAAAGCTTGTAATCAAATACAAAGGAAAATACAAGTTCGTATAAAAAAGGGAGGTAAGAGAAGGAATATGCTGGTGGTCACATAAGACGTTGATGTTTGTTGTTGGCAGTCCGATGATCTACGACATGAGTTAAATTTATATTTTATATAACTACTCATATACTTTGTGATATAATATTTTTATGACTGTAAAAGTAGTTGGGAATAAACATATATTTTAACATATTCATAGATTCTCATATATAACTACTTGAGCTCATGTGTGGTTTGTTATCGATGTATTTTTCTTTAATATTTTTAGCTATTTGTTTTTGGCAATTTAAAACATGAACTTCTAAATCGTTGGCTACACGGAGCGGGCTTTTTACTAACAATGATTTTCGTTTCCTCATTTAAGATCTAGGGCTTACACTAGAGTGGAAAGCATTGCGTACTGACATTCGGAAGCCTGGGGTTCAAGTCGTGGTGTTGTCCTAACATCCAAATTTTTATGGAAAGTTATTTAAATAAACAATTAAGCTTAATTTTGTAATTGCGTTTGCCCTCCAGGAGGGAATGTCAAATAAAACTTACCATAAAACAATCCATCAGCCGTTCGGAGGCGGTTTAGTATAAACTGCAGGTCCCTTCATTTGCTTGGAAACGACATAAAGACGCAAAACCATAAATTGTAGGAGGAGCTTATCGCCGATAATCGCTTCAGCGGTTACAAAGCGCCGTTTATGTATGTATGTATGCTCGATAACTTTTTACTCTTTGAAAATAATATCGATAATGACGAGGCCCGAGCTAAAAGGTGGGTACATAAAAATATCTCAACCAAGCTCTGGAAG